AGAGTGCCAATGGTGTCAATGTGTCAGGGTTTGTCTGTAGGGTACAAAACAATGCAGAGATTTTCTAACTGACTCCTTTACAAATGCCAACATCCAATGCCAACACCAACCCACATGGCAGCACTGGTCTGGCCATCACATGAACTACAGAAAAGCAATGAAACATGGACTTTGAGTGGCCCACACCTGGTATCCCTAATGACGGTAATGAATAATAAAGAATGTTTTGAAATGAAGTCCACAGCCTTAAAAAAGATGTGCACCGCTGGATACTGGTCTGTTAAGTGGTTATGTCTTTGTAATTATTATCCATTAACCACTTAAGATGAGTAACCAGGAGTGGCTGTAGAGCAGTGGATGGTGGTTGGGGGGGATCTTTTACACAGAGAGATACGGGTTAGCATCAAGCAGTGTAACCCTACGTAAATAAGAAACAGAATGGTAGCATCAAAATGGTCAGAGCCAAATCCCTTTTTGTAGATTGATTTACTAGCTTTTGCAATCTTACATGAAGAAAACAGGTAATATGAATGGGCCAGAAAGTGATCAATTTTGCTTCGTAGGCTGCTCAGACATTTGGACCAGTGTCCCTTCAGTACAACCCTCTGTACCACATCCAGCTCAGCTGCCATCAGTTGGTACAGAACAGTGGTACATCATCTTTACATGTCAAACAAACGGTGAAATCATTTGATCACACTGAAATATGAGACTTGACGGTGCTATCTGCAGTGTGCTAAGAAGCTATCTGGTACTAAAGCTACTTCACTCCTGCTCAAGCTGCTAGCGCCACTATAGTGGGCACCCTATGTGACCATGTGAACATTATTTTACAGTTGTGAACAATGAGTTTGACTCCGGCTGATGGTGAACAAAAGAAGAAAAATTACAGAAAGTATCATCACGTGTCAAAGGGAAACTGTCCCTCTCTTCTCAGATTTCATCCGTCATAAATTTTCTGTGTCTTGGCCTCTCAGCTCGTTCCTCTACATCCACTACATTCACAGCAGTTAACTTGCAAATATGCAAATCTTTGG